AAAAAAAAAAAGCTGGCAAGTGATTTCCCTGCAGACAGAAGTATGATTTGCATCAGTAGAAGTGAGCTGTGTCTGCTGGTATATTTATGTGCCATCTTTTTTCACTTCCTCGAGGGCTGCAAGATGACAGGGCTGTGGGTTAGTGCTGTAGAGCTCTCAGGGCCAGCATTGATGGTTTGTTTAGTTGTCTTGGTCCATGGATTCCCTTAGATCTATGTAAACCTAATTCCTTTGGAGCACTGGAAAATCATTCCACACTCTCTTCTAGCCTGGTGAACAGTACAGGGTACAGAAAAAAGAGCAGAGTTCTTGGAGATAGGAAGCCCTGAGTTTGAATCCAGCTTCCCAAAGTCACAAGGCTAATAAGTGGCATGCCCAGGCCATATGTGACACATACTTCCTTCCAGCAGAGATGTCTTCCTGATGACCATTGCTTGTCCACTGTCTGTCCTGTGCGCTGGCCACTTCCTGGGAGCCTGGTGTGCAGACAGAATAAGTGGAAAGAGAAGAGGGTGATAGGTGGGTGGGTAGAAGGTGGTACATGGGAGCAGGAATCCAGGGAGGGATGGATAGTGATGGGTGAGTGAGTGGGTGGATGAATGGTGGATGAATGGATGTCTTGATGGATGGGTGGATGATGAATGGATGGGTGGAGAGATGGCTGAATGGGTAAATAAGTATATGGAAGATAAATGGGAGGTGAGAAAATAAGTACATAGCTAAGTGGTGGACAGGTAGGTAGGGAGATGGGGTAAACAAATGTAGGTGGGATAGGTGGATGGACACGTGGGAATGGATGGATGGATGGATGGATGGATGGATGGATGGATGGATGGTGGATTACACAAATGTAAAGATGGGAAAGTAAATGGGCAGACCCGGGGATAAGAATACAACCAATTGCACATGGCTGTATGAAGTGTGATTGAAAAATAGGTGAATGTTTATATTTTTAAAAATTATCGTAAAAGATACACTGCCATGAATCCCCCTCAAAATCCTCCCCTTACTTAAAACACACGTTTCCCATCACTCTTGCCACTTTCTGAAGTAATTCTGCAAATCCTCTTTCATAAGTGCCTTTTCAGTTGCACCATCATGGTTGCCTCAATGCCCTGAGTTGATTCAAAACATTTACCGTTCATGGTCATTTTGACTTTGAGGAAGACCCAGAAGTCTCATGGTACCAGATCAGGTGAATAAAGCGGATGAGGACACAGGGCCATGTTTTTATCAGTCTCCTTTCCATGGAAAGATACAAGGCAGCAGCATCATTCACATGGTTTTGATCACATGCCATAGGCACTCAGGAAGGAGGACGTCCAGAACTGCTTCAGACAGTGACAAGAATGATGGGATAAATGTGTTTGAAGTGAGGGAGAAGATTTTGAAGAGGATTTGTAGCCATGTGTCTTTTGCTGTGATACATTTTTAAATTTAAGCATTTGCTGTATATTTCAATCGCCCTTTGTATGATGAGTAGATGATGCATGGTTGGGTGAGTGATGGGGAGTGCAGATGCAGTGGGAAAAATGGGGTTTGGAGGTTCCCGAATCAGAGTGGCACCCCAGCTGTGTAGGCCTGTGTGTAGATGGTGGACACCCACAGAGGGCACTTCCTTCTTGACTGTCTCCTGGCTCAGACACTGCAACTGGTAGTGAGTTGCAAGGGACATAACCCGCACCTCTTTTACTTCCTGAATGAGGCCTCCAACACTCAAGGTAACAGTGCTCAGAGGTCTGCTTCAGAGGCGGACAGACTTCAGATAGCTGCTGCTGCTTCTTCAAGTAGCCCTGACCCAAAGAATAAGCCCGGTGGCCAAAGCAGTGAGCTCCAGAGAAGACCAGGTCATTGCTGAAGTGTTTTTGGACTTTCCCAGCCTTCCCCGTTCATATCCTTTCATATTAAATTTCCGCACTCCCTCCCCTAGCTACCAGCACTGCACATCCAACAGTGGAAGCCCATCCTGTCCTTACAGCCCAGTTCAAAGGCTGCTTCATGCAGGAAATTTTCCCTGATCCACACAAGCCTCAGCATCCCCACGATCCAGTCCCCTCCAACACACATGAGACTTTAGGGGAACATTTTAGAACTAAACCTGCAAAATAAGATCAACCCCACTGAAGCCTGTTTTTCAGAACACAGTAGAACCAACAGTAATCATGATTCCTCCCAGAATGGGTATTTTACATACGTCCTCTTTGACCTCCCAGCAAAGTGAGTGGTAGAATCTCCACGTTTTGATAAGGAAACTGAGGCAAGAAAAGTTGAGCAACTTGCCTTGTGTAACCCAAGCAGGAGGTGTTGAGAGCAGAGATAAGTGGAATTCTTCCCTGCTCTGAAGCTCCTCCCTGCCCCTTTAGATGTCTCAATTCTTTCTCCTGCCTGCACCACCATGCACATGCAATGACAGCTGTAAATCTGAACTCCTCCAACACTTGGGTGACCAGTTGTCCAGCTGGTAGGAAATGCAGTGTTCGGAATCACACTCATTTAATCCTATTTGCAGTGGGCATTTTGTCAGTCTGAGTGTGTGATTGTTGACATATTTGTTGGCAGGATTCTCTGATCAGTGCCCTTCTGCCCTCTGAACAGTGAGCCCTGTGAGGACAGACAGCATAACTGCTTTGTGGCCAGGGTACCCTGCTCCCAGGCTGGTGCCAGGACATCAGTGGGTACTCAGTGAAGATGTACAGAGTAAATGATGCATGGGGCTCATCAGCTGTCTTTGCTAACCATGAACTTGGGCAAATTGCATATATGACCTCCCATAAACCACCAGGAACCATGGGGTAAGAACAGCCATCTCCATTTCACAGACTGAGAAACTGAATTCTGGGTATTAATTCAGTAAGTGCACCAGAGCTCAGCACCCCAAACCCCATGGCTGTTGTGCACTCAAGGCTCCAGTTGAAATCTTCCATTATGGTTTGAACCTAAAACGTCCCTCCAAAGTCTCACCTGTTCAGAGCTGGGGCTTTCGGAAAGTGATTGGATCGTGACAGCACTACACTCATCAGTGCATTTGCCTGTTATTGGACTCACCGTTGGGAGGTGATGGAAATTGTGGATGTGGGGCTAGTCGTAGGGAGTGGGTCATGACAATGTGACCTTGGGGGCTATGTCTTGTCTCCAGCCTCTTCCTCTGAGGCTTCTCTTCCTAAAGTCTGCCATAGGGTGATCAGCTTTCCTTTCACCATGAGATGACAACTCAGCACAGGTCCCTGAACTATAGTTCCAATCTACTATGGACTGAAGCTTCTGAAACTGTGAGACAAAATAAACCTCTCCTCCTTTCAGTTGCTACTCTCAGGTGTTTTGTCACAGGAGCAGGAAGCTGACTACTATAACTTCTGATGCTCTGCTCATCCAAGTGTGTCTCTGAGCATGTGACCGTGCTCTAGTTCTGCTGTACTAAGCAGCACTGACCCACATCTGTCCTGTACTTGTTTGCAGACTCAGGAGACATCAGGGACAAGGTGGTCAAATCCTGGAACCTGAAGGCCGAGCCGGAAGCCAGGCCCAAAGCAAGCTCCAGGATGGCTGCAACAACAACATCCTGACCCACACCTGCCCCCAGGGCTGTAGCAGCTAATCCTCCACCTGCAGCTGCCCAGGAGGCAGCAGCCTCTCTGCCTTGCCCATCCAGAGCCCCTCTCTACGCTATGATGGTCCCCATCTCATCCCTGAAAACCGGAAAGAGCGCTGGACTTGGAGCTGGGAAGCCTGGGTCCCAGCCAATTTGCTCTGTGACCTCGGACACACCCTATCTGTGCCTCAGTTTTCTGCATCTGCCAAGGAAGTTAAGCAGCTCCCTTCCCCACCTCCAGTTACAAGATTATTGTGAGAATCCAGTTGGATAGCAGATATGCAAACTCTTGGGCATTTATAAAATTGTTTATATTTGCAATTAGAATCCTATATTTGAAGTGCACTCCCATCCCCTGACACAATGAGACCATCCTCACTCTGCAGTTTGACCTGACTTAGCTTGCTGGATGGTACTTTGGAAATCTACAGCCCCGAGGGCATCTGAACTATTTCACATGTCTGCCCTTTTACAAAACACTGCTTCCAAATCCTGTAGCAGCCCTGGGGTGATTTCATTTGCATTCTCTGCTGGCCGCAGACTCTCTGACCTTGCAGAACCGTGCAGCACACAGACCAGCCGGGCCCTGAGTTCTTGGTATTGCAGGTATGCTCCTCCCTGGATCCCCAAGGATGCCCAGCCTTGGAATGTCAGCAGCCTCCCAGACCCATGCCCCTGGTGCTAGGATGGCACAAAGGTATCCTGTCAGATGATAGTCAGCTCACTGGTCATCAGTTACACCACAGTGCTCACTGTGCTCCCCCATAGCCCAGCCCGCAGCAGAGCCCCTTTCCAGGGGAGCAGGGGTCTGGACAGCCTGGAAGGGAATCAAGGGACCCGATGGACATTGGTAAGAATGGCTTCCTATTAGTAACTTAGGAAGCATGGGTGTTTAGAAAGTCTGTTCTGCAAGGAAAGTGGCTTTACCCGAAGGCCAGCTACTTTCAGGACAACTTGCCCTTGAACTGGGAGACACAGAGGTTTGAAAGATAAACAAGGCTTTAAGGTCAGACTCATGTACAGAATCTGACCCTGCTGCTGACCTGCTGGAAGACCTTAGGCAAGTGGCATGATCATGAAACTGTCAGGTAACTTATTTTAAAATGAGAATAAAATGGGGGCCCAGGCACGATAACGCACACCTATAATCCCAGCACTTGGAAGGCTTAGGCAGGAGGATTGTGAGTTCCAGGCCAGGCTGAGCAACTTGACAAGACTCACAATACAAAGAATAAAATAAAATAAAATAAAGTGGGGTTCCATAAGATCCTGTATGTAGCACACTCAGAAGGGCAAATGACTCCTCGATTTGCAGTCATTCTTTATCAACGTCTCACCATCTTCATCTTCGCCACCATTTGGAGATACTCTCTGTTTCCCGGACTTGGTGTGGCGGTTTTCGTGTAAACAAGCCTCACTCCTGTTTCAGGCTCTTTTGATTTTTCTTCCTGCAGGCACGAATGTCCATACATCCTTGCTGAGTTCAGCTGTGTTTTTACTTTTCCATCGAACTTCCATTTTCTACTTTTCAACAGGATAACTCAGTCCTCGGGGCTGTCTGTGTCCTCGCTTAGATTTCTTAAGAGACATTTTAATGTAGGATGCAGTCTTAAAAAGTACTCGTTGTTTCCCCTTCGTACCGAGGCTGTTTCTGGGTTGTGTTGACCACATCCGACTGTGTCCTCTGCCCTTTGTGGTCTCCAGTCCCCATGGGCACCGTCCTGCCTGCTCTGGTTCATAACAGGGCTGCTCCTCTCTTCACTGTGACCTGGAAGTGTTCAGACTTTGCGCAGGTGAGCTGGTGACGGGGCAGAAGCCAGACGCAGCCTGGGAGACGCCAGGTTTCCTAGCTCTGTTTATGTGGCGTTCCTTGTTCAAAATAAACTGTTTCTCAGACATTTCTTTCTACTGTTCTTTTCTTAATTGAGGTTGCGTGGGATGTGGGAGCCTCAGATCCTGCATCTGTGACCTGCCCAGGTGTGCAGACTGGGCTGGGGCAGGGACCACACTGAGGGCAGCAGGGACCTAGGCTCTAGCACTTCTGCTCTCAGCCTAGCAGGCAACACCTGTTGATGTCTCCATAGCCTGTGGCTGCTTTCTCACTACAACTGCAGTGTTGCACAGCTGCACCAGAGACCCTGTGGCCCATGATGCTAAAAATATTTCCCATCTGCCCCTGAAGGGAAAGGGTTTGTGGACCCTTAATCTAGAAGATACACTTGTCTTGGGGGCAGATGGCAAGTGTACAGTTGCCTTCTCACCTGCAAAAGGCAGTGGGTCTTAGAGCCTTCACAGTCCAGCCAGTGAGGTTCCTATGTGCAGAGACACCCATGGTTCATCCTGCCTGACGGCTGTGCTCTTTCCAAATTGTAGAGCCCCTGTCAACCCCACTTGGCAGGTTGGTGTATAGAAAGTCACCCTCTTCCTGTCTGCTTCCTCTCTGTTTCCACGGGTCTTCCTAGCCAGGCTCTATAGAGCAATTCTGCTCTGTGCAGTTTTATTCCCACTGTCCTTGTCACATAGCTCTGCAATGGCCACATGTAGTCTCCTCCCTCCTGCAGGCTGTGGGGTCCCTCAGAGGGGCTGTCCAGATGGCCCAACACAGAGTGGCTGTAGGGCAGGTTCTCAGTAGACAGGAAAGTTGCAAACACTCCCATCTTGTCCTGACCCAGGCCACACTTAGCAAACACCTGTCACTTTGACAGTTGCATCCACCCAAGAGGTAGCTGCTTTGTCCAGGCCAATTGCAGACATGTACGATTAATGATCTTCCTCTCAGGCTCTCTGAATTCTATGTTTATTGCCCACCCCACTCCCACCCTTAACTCTGATTCTTCCCACTACGCAAGGAAAGAGGAGAGTTAGGGGTAAGATTTTTGCATACATGAAGCTGTCATCTTTGCTTGTCCTAATGCTAAGACTCTTTTTGTACAAACATCTGTGCTGGATTCAACAGCATTTTCTCAGTAGGAATTCATTCCACACATTGCTATTGTATGAATATTTGTATTCCTCCAAAATTCATATGCTGAGATCTTAGCCATCCCCAAGGTGATAGTGTTGGGGGAAGTAGGAGCTTTGGGAGGGGATTAGGTCAAGAGGATAGACGCCAGAAATGGGGTTAGTGCCCACCTAAAAGAGACCAAAAGAGAATTCAATTCCCACTTCTATCATGTGAAGACACAGGGAGAAGGCACCACATGTGAACTAGGAAGTGGGACCTCGCCAGACACTGAACTAGCCTGGACCTTGGACTTCCACTTCAGCTGTGAGAAATAAATTTCTGCTGTTCATAACCCACCTAGTCTGGTATTTTGTTACAGCAGCCTGAACAGACTAAGGCACACGTCATGTCTTTGGCCAACTCTTGACAATAAAGCCTGAGATTGGGTAGATCGCTACTAAAGTTCTTGTCAAGGCAAGAAAAAGCTGAATCCATTCTTACTACGCCTTTCCCATCTTCCCCAAACTCCATCCCTCACCACCACCATTCTGGGTTCTCAGGGAACCTCACCATGACCATTAGTCATGCTATGTCAACTTGAATGGATTAGGAAATGCACAGAGGATTAGTGGAGCATAGTTCTGGGTGTGTCTATAGATGACTGACACATAGAACAGCAAACAGGAGGGGAGAATCATCCTAGATGTAGGTGGCAATAACCAATAGGCTTGTAGTGTGGGTGGAATAAAAAGGGAGAAAAAAGAAAGTGTGCCCATTTCAAAGAGTTCCAGACTTCTTGAATAGATCTATCCTTTGCTTTCATTGCCTTTGGGCATTGATTCAAAAGTCTCTACTTCAGACCTCAGCCTCCATTTCTGCAGTTTCTTCAGTCTTCCACATAGATTTTCAACAATGACCCTCCAGAGAGTTTCCAAGCCTTTGACCTTGATTCATGCTGCATCCTTGATCCCTCTCATTCTGCAGCTTTCATCTTCTTGGCTGAGCAGCTGCTGTATTCTCCCACATGTGATCCCACGGATGGCCATTATAGATGCTTCCCCCTCTGATCCTTTAAGCCTACCCTATAAATCCCCTCACATGATTATGCATACATTTTCTATTGATCCCATTCCTCTAGAATCCTAACTAACACACTCAGGAAACAAAAGCAAAGCGGGAATACAAATGACCATGTCAGTATTGAGACACCCACCCAGAGCCCAGCAGGGAAGTCAAGTTGAAGCAAGAAGCACAGGTTCTGAGCCTCCACTCTCCCAAAATCTGAACTCAACATGAACAAACTCAATGATGCTAATCACAGCATCTCAGCCCCTTAGAAACAGTGGTTCTGATTCTGACCCATCAGAAGAGGAACTCGTCTCTCATTGTGGGAGAAGTGGATAAGCACTGATCTCAGATAGTTGCGGCAGGTGAAAATGGGCAAACGTTCTCTTTTCACATTAATTGCTAATCTGTAGGAGAGCCCTGCTGTATCAGAAAGATAACAATTCCCTCCATACAACTTCCCAGCACTCACCATACTGATGTCACAAGAACGCAGCAGTGCACAGCATTTTGCACTACACTTTGTACCTCTGCAAGAACTAGTCCCCGGTCATGGAGGACTCTGGGTGCTGCTGTGGTGTTGTCTCTGCCAACCCAACCTCACCACAGCAGGTTCGCCCCTGGCTTGGGGGAGCATCCACAATGCTGTCAGCTACTCCTGATGAGTGCTAGGAAGGACGATTCATTCCTGCAGTTTACTTCCCAAGCATCCATAGCCTTCATCTAGGAGTTCATAAGACATCAGAAAAGCCTCAGTTGAGGAGCATTCTACAAAGTACCTGACCACCACTCACTTAAGCACTCAAGGTCATGAGAGATATGGAAAACTAAGAAAGAGACTAAGGAAACGAGGTAACTAAGTGAAATGAGGTGTCATGGATTGTATCACACACCAGAGAAAGGGCAGTAGCTGGAATGGTGGTGAAGTCTACACCAACTGTCCACTCTAGCTAATAAGAATGCACTTTGAAGATATCAATAAGTAATACAATAACCATTGTTAATTTCTACAACTTTGTCTGTAACTCTGTTTTGTTTGTATTGTTCTTATGCTATTTTGTCAATGCATATCTGTTTGTTAATATGTTTTCCTTCTTTTATTTCTTAAAATAAAAAAAAAAGAATGCGCCAACGCTGACTCCTTAGTTTTGACAAATATGCCACCGTTATGCAGGACATTTCCATTAGGGAGGAGGTGAGAGAATGGTGTTTAGGGACTTTGTGATGTAATCTTTGCAGTCCTTTGATAAATCTAAAATTATTTCATAAATAAAAGGTTTTGAAAACTGTCTACAAAAGAAGCGGGCATCAGCCCACCCAGCCTTGCTCCCTCCACTCTCTCCTGACTGTAGCTTCATTTTTCCAAGATCAAAACTTCTATTTTTTGAGGAAGCAGAAAGAGGGAGGACAAAGCTTCAGCCATAGGTATTAGCAGAGCTTATATTTGGGAAGTGCCAGTGCCCTGTCTCTCTGTCCCCATCTGTAAATGCAGATGTCAAGTCTGCTGGCTGACTGATGCCATCCACAAGCACAAAAGTCACAACCACCCCAGCCCCATGGGGGAAACCAAGACACTAACACCATCACAGGAGAATGGCTGAAACCCTCAGAGCCACCTCTGTTCATCAGCTTGGTCTTTTATTGATAAATCTAAAAGGCAGGTGAAGGTGACCAGACATTGAGGGAAATCAGATAGCGTAGATGGGGCCAAAATGACCATACAGACCCCACAGAGCAGCTCTTTCCAAAGGAAACAAAGACTTCTGGGAAGAGAACTTTGAAAGATTGGATTCATATTCTCACACAGTTGGAAGAAGATATTGCAGCCATAAAACAACAGAGCAATCTACTCTGAAAAACAGTGGAAGAATGGAAGAAATTCCTGGAAATTAAAAGTTATTGCCAAAATAAAAAATGTCATAAAAGACCTGGAGGAGTAAGTGGAGGAAATCTCATAGACCTGCCAGAAAAGAGACTGTAAGAAAAATATGATTAAGAAGCTGAGACATGGAAGATCTATAATTTTAATACAAACATTGAGGTGTATCAAGTGCTTACTCTAAGATAAGCGCTATGCTAACACAAACAGAAGTTTCAGGGCCCTGAACATAGATGCACTCAGGATTCCCCTTTCATACAGGAAGAA